CCTTCATAATTTTATATTCATTTTACAAAATGTAATATCTTAATCTTCTTCCACCTTTAAAGGGCGGGTCGCGGGCACAGCAACCTAAGCAGAGAAGCCCAGCCCTCCCTCTCCCCAGCCAGCTTTTCCAGGGGAACACAAAGGCATTCCCAGGCCAGACGAGAGATATTATCTCCCCAGCGTGTCCTGGGTCATCTCCCGGTGGGACAAGCCCGGAACACCTCACCCAGGAGGCATCCTTGTCAGATGCCCAAACCACCTCCTTATGATGTGGAGGAGCAGCAGCTCTACTCTGCGCCCCTCCTGAATGGCCGAACTCCTCACCCCATCTCTAAGGGAAACACCAGCCACCCTTGGAGGGAGCTCATTTCCGCCATTCTTTCAGTCACTACCCACAGCTCACGACCATAGGTGTTGGGTGAGGACAGGGATGTAGATCGATTGGTAAATTCAGATATTCGCTTTTACACTCAGCTGTCTCTTACATCAAATACATAATTCAGTTTAAATTATGAAAAGGTTGCCATTGGGAGCAATTAACAGATAAAAATTCACAAACATAACCTCATCATAAAACAACTCTGGTAATTTTACTTTTGATACTTTGATAAAATTTTAATGTCAATACTTTTTTGTGTGTATTTCTACACTGTGGCTGTTTCTACTTATACTTCAAGAATTAATCAGACTGCTTCTTCCACACTGATGTGTCGTTAATGGACATGGATGAGGTTTTTATTTTTGTGATAGACAATGACAGATCCACACTCTTATCCACACTCATGCATATACGATGTACCTGAACCTGCAGCTGTTTGAGGCTGTCTGGAGACTTCAGAGCAGGCCAGAGGTACGAAACTTGCTGAAGTGAAGTTTGTTGTTGTTGTGGAGGCCGACAGGAGAAATGTTGATGTTGATAAAGGCTGATGAGGTGTTGGAGTTTTTGAAGCTGTGAACAAGGAAAAATCAGAATAATAACAATCCTGCTTGAAGCAGGTTTTCTGTCTGCATGTCAGTAATAGAGGTTAATATATTCTTACAGCACAACTCATTGAACTAACCTGAAGTGTAAATATGACACATGTAGGTTATTGAAAGAAAAGTAACTGTGGTCAGTGAGAAGTTCACATCTTCAGGGACATGAATAAGATTTTTTTACTCACCTCCTGTGATGACAAGCTGAAAATCACATGGTTGTAAACTTCTGTCCAGTGTGCACCTGTACCATCCTGAATCCGACTTGTTCAGCTGTGTGATGCTCACGTACACAATATCCTTTAACAGTAAATTCTTTTTTACAAATGTAATGCTGTATCTGCCGCTCTGAGCTGTGTAATCAGCTGTTTCAATGAGAACGTTTGCTTTTTCACATTTGTCTTTGCAGAACAACATCGTACTTCCTGGGAAATAAAATGGACATTCGACTGTGATGTTTCCTCCTTCCACTCCTTCATAGACGGGAGTTTCAGCGTTGGCAAGTCCAGTGTTTCCATCCTGTTCATCTGTAGAAAATATGAACAATCAGTTACTTCCTGTAAACACTGCATTTGATTTTAAATATTTTATTAAATTTAACTGAAACAAAATATTGTTATTATTATTATTATTATTATTATCTAATTGAACACAACAATTAAAGGTAGTTCATTTAAATTCACTCTCTTTGTAGTCTTCATTTAAACAAAATCATCCTGGTCCTTCCTGCCAACACAAGCCATCTACTGAAGAACCGCTCAGTTAAAAGTTTGAAAACTGACCTCTTATTTGTCTGTGATAAGATCTTGATCTGCTTTGAGCTGTGCTGTTCCTCCTGAACTCAATGATAAGGTTGTTTCCTTACAAGCTCTAAATGTGGTTTAGTGGTTTGGAAAAGAAGGAAGCAGCACTCTGAACACAAACGAGCTGCTGTCGGTCTGAACGCAGCTGCTAACCAGGTGACGTGTCAAGGTCGGTATCCCCGACAGAATTTGCGTCGGGAGCGTGCACTGGGCTTTTAGATCACAAACACCTCTAACAATGACTTATTACTTCTGAAATTTTGGAGGTTTTAGCTCTTCATCTGCTCTGTGAGAACAGTGGTGGGCATTGACTCACAGACAACCTCAGCTTCTTCTTTCAGCACTATTTCTGATGTAGTGCAAAACCTGCAAACATTGTTATAAATCAGAAATAAGAAGAATTTACTCACAGAGGAAGATGAAGCAGATCAAAATGTGACAGAGTTTCATCTCGAGGTTCTGACGGCTTAATGCTGCTTCTCTTTCTTCTCTGTTTGCAAACCAGGAACTTCTAATTTTTGCATTTGTTGTGGTCCCTCCCTCAAACCCACACTCCTCTGCTTTCACAGGGTTTTTTTTGTCCATTTATTTATGGTTTAGTTTTACATTTTCTTAATTTTCAATTTCAACTTTGACATTTTCTTGTAACCTTTTTTTTTTGTCTTTCAAAACAGAGTGTTTGGAGTTTACTAATGTTATTTAACTGACTGCAGTTTCATCGTGTGAATCCATCTGCAACTCACCTACTAAAGGAGCAGTGACACTGACAGAAAGCTCATCACTGAGGGGCTTCCTGTCAAAATAAAAACTGTTTAATACAAAACTGTGTTCACTCACCTGCCACATACAAAATTATGTAATTATGTGTCTTTGAAAGTTATAAGTTAATTTAGTTTCTACTTCCTGAATACAGTATGTTACACTCTATTGTCTATGAGTTTGTTATTTGTATTTCTTGATTTCTTGTGCTTTTGTGTCCAGTCTGTTAGTTTTGTCCCTGTGTCGTGGCTCAAGAGTTGGGAGTTCGTCTTGCCGGTTCGAGCCCCGGCTTGGACAGTCTCGGTCGTTGTGTCCTTGGGCAAGACACTTCACCCGTTGCCTACTGGTGGTGGTCAGAGGGCCTGGTGGCACCAGTGTCCGGCAGCCTCGCCTCTGTCAGTGCGCCCCAGGGTGGCTGTGGCTACAATGTAGCTGCCATCACCAGTGTGTGAATGTGTGTGTGAATGGGTGGATGACTGGATATGTAAAGCGCTTTGGGGTCCTTAGGGACTAGTAAAAGCGCTATATAAATACAGGCCACTTACCATTTGTGTCTCCAGTGTCTCTGTGTTGTTTTACCTCTGGTCTCCCCAGTTGTATTCAGGTCTGTCTGGCTGTGGTTTTTCCCTGTTCCCATCTTCATTTCCATGTTTCATCCTTTTGTGTCCCCAGTCTGTCATGTCTCCATGTCTGTTTATCCCCAGTCCAAGTTTCATGTCTCAGTCTCAGTGTTCCTTCCTTTTTTATTTTGTTAGTCCCACGTCTCCTGCCCGTACATTCAGTTTTGCATCCTCTGTCTTGTTTGTCAGATTTAGTTCACCTGTGTTCTTGTGAGTTCCATCTCCCTGATCACCTCCTGTGTATTTAAGCCTTTAGTTTCCTTCACTCCCTTGTTGTGATCTCCCCTCATGTTGTGTGTTCTCCCTTCTCCCTGTCAGTGTTAGTTTTCAGTCTGTTTGCTCCTGTTTTACTCATCTGTATGTGTTGTTAAGTTTGCCATTTGTTAGCTAATAATGCTGTGTTTTGAGTTCAAGTCTTTCTGCTGAGTCCTGTGTTTGGAATCCACACTCTTCCTAACACACAAATGTGTCCTGACAACATCTTTTAAACAAAGAATGAGACGAGTGATTCCAGATAGTTTAGAAACTTTGAAATGACTTTTATTTTAATTAAAAAGCAAACCTTCTAATAGGTGACTTGGGCAGACTGCACATCCATTTACATCATTCATTTACACTGTGGCTAAAACTTTTTTTGCTAGGCCCCTCTTTGTTCTACAATCAACGCTGCTGTCAATACATTCTTCAAAAAATGCCTCTCTGTGCAAAATGGGTTTAAAAACATAAACAACTGTGGGACACTGTTTGTCCGTGATTTGAACCGGGGGAACAAATTGTGGCAGGGTCAGTGTTGTGCCAAGGTAGGTATCACTGACAAAATGTATTCCCCCTGTGTCGCGAACATTCGCTCGGCACGGAGTGCGGATCCAGTTTACTCCGCCTCCATTACAGACTATTAGACGTGGAAGTAGTGATGTTTTAGTTTTATGAAAAAGTAAAAAATGAGTGTCGTTACATTACCATTCAGTTTGAGGGTTACAGCAGAAAATGATATATTTATTGTTCTCATGTGGGATTAACAGACGAAGGACATTTTGCCTGATAATTATTTATATCCTCCTGTAACTTTACTGTATAAAGAGCTAAAACCTCCAAAGTTTCAGGAGTAGTTAGTCGTTATAGTGTTTGTGAACTAAAAATCAAGAATGTGGGATACTGTTTGTCTGTGATTTGGAGAGCCCAGCGTGTGCTCCCGACACAGGGGAAACTAATTCTGTCGGGGAGACCTACCCTTGGTTTGACAGCTGTTGTGCAGGTGAAGCCAAAGGCAAGATATGCTTCATCATATGTTTGTGTTTGGCTTGGAAGGAAGTTGGTTTGGAAGCATATTTGGTGATGCTTCATCTTCTGCTTTGCATTTGTGTGGGAGCCCCGTCAAAAAACCTGCCTATTATACTAACAGTGTCCACTCTTCTTTTTCACAAAAATTCATACCACACCCCCCATGCAATGTGGCACGTTCACCACTTTGGGAACCACTGAGCTAAAAGATCGAACTGATATATATAATAGACACACCGGTCCACTGTGTCCATTTCACGCTTTGCCTCTAAAAAAACATGAAATGGACGCGTCCATACAGAAGTTGCATTACCAGCAGGGCGAGGACAAACGTATGAAGTACATTAGTCCTTAATCATCAGAAACAGTTAAACTAGGTAGGTAATATAATATGTGTGTGTGTAAATGTGTTAATAACTTCTGTTTAATGGCTTTTCTGTAATTGTTTTAATGTCAGTGCGCCCCAGGGTGGCTGTGGCTACAATGTAGCTGCCATCACCAGTGTGTGAATGTGTGTGTGAATGGGTGGATGACTGGTTGTGTAAAGCGCTTTGGGGTCCCTAGGGGGGACTAGTAAAAGCGCTATACAAATACAGGCCATTTACCATTTGGCTTGAAGTAAAATCTTCCTCTGCTGTTACTGCAACTTACTGCAACTTCTGCATGAGTGTGCATTTCAGTTTTGAAAGGGGCAAAGTGTGACATGTACATGGTGGAGCAACGCGTCTATTACCTGTTTGGTTGAAAAGGAGGAAGCAATGGGAGAAGGTGACATGGATGAGATTGACTTGTGGATTCTAAGAGGTCCATAATCTCATTCCTGCTTTTACAGAAGTTTGATGATCAAATCTTTATCACTGACCCTGGTAACTTGATTTAAAAAGTCATTTTTCCTTCAGAAGGAAAAATGACTGTTCATGCAGTCATTCAGCTTCACAGGAGTTCATGTCTGAAAACTGGTTATTGTGTCTGAGTGTAGACTAGGTTTGGTCGTGATCTCTGCTCGCTGTATTGGGACTTTGGTAGGTCAAGCCTTCACATGAGGAGACTGGACGATCGATTTCACTGAGACCAATCTGGGAAAATAAAAATAACAAACTGACTGAATTGAGGAGCAAAGACAAAAACACAATGACAGCAACGACATATTAAAGCAGAAGACGATGATGCGCAGCAGGTTTTTAGTGTCAGGATGGAAACAGAAGCTGTGTGTTCTATTTATAGTACACAGAGAAGTGAAAAAGTAGATTTTGAACTTTATTTTGGTTCATTTTAGTACCGCTTGCATCTTTTAATATAAAACAGAGACTAGTGCAGATTTAAATGAAAATTAATCATATGATTGAAACTGAAAAGAAATAATGTTTTAACATTTTAGGCATTTACCAATTTAAATTCAGAATCCTGAACTTTTTTTTAACCATGAAATCTCAGTTTGTTTGTTTTTCTTTCCAGCCTGGTACAGATTTTGAAACCATGACATAGAGAGAAAACAAACAGAGATAAGTCACCTCAGTGTGGTCATATGCTGAGCGTCTCTTGCAGTTCAAACCTGTAGAACAGACAGGTAATACGTTTCATTAGCTTTACTATGCCCTCCTCAGGATAATAATTGAGACAAATAAAACTTCAACTAAAACTAAACATGTTCTTACAATAAACCTTAAACTGAAATATGAAAATCAACTCTGGAAATTAACTGAAAATAATCTGAATTGAAAACAAGACATCAAAATACAAAAGTAAAATAACTCTGTTGTCAATTAATGAATCTTAAAGGTTTTAAATAATGTTTGAAGGTAACTCACCGTTAGAGGCCTCGGCCGTGATTCTGTAGATGAGCAGCAGAACAACAGGCAGCAGAACCACCACCACAGATAAACGTATCACCAGCTCCAAGGACAAACCTGGATGACAGACACACAGATACAAAACTTCAAATGCTGCTTTTCACGAGTTTTTAGAAAACGACAGATGAAGAGTGGTGAATGGTAAATTCAATGGGGTTGGTGTTTTTGGACTGACTACTTTAGTCAGTTTGGCAACTTGATGAAAGATTTTTAGTTTTGTGATTATGTTTAGTTGTAGCTTCATTTAAAGGAAGAAGAGCTTGTGAATTGGGACCACCACAGGAAAAGAGAGTGAAGCCATATGTGCAGAAGAATGCATGATACTACCTCCTGTGTTAACAGAGAAGCTATCGGTCTCTCTCTCTCTCTCCTTTTTTGGGAATGTCTGAATTTCTATACATACCAAGCTATCTCCCATTTCAGCAGACAAGTGAACAGTTTTCTCCTTTTATGGAAATGTTTTTGTATTCTGAACATGCCACTCCTACTTCCTTGAAACCTGTTTTGAGCATAAATAAAGAAAGCTCTGAAAGCCCTGCGCGGTTTTCCTCTGGTCACATCTGTTCTGCACAGATACCGCAGGGCAGATCGGACCAGGGACGGGAAATCGTCCATGTATGCATGAAAAAGATATCTTCAGTCTACACTCCTACTAAGCATGCACACAGATTCTGAACATTATGACAGAGTGAGTCCAGAAGATTTGGATTTAATGAGCCTCATCTCCATGATGAAAATCAGAAAAACTGATTAACAGAACAGATTTAACTGTTACAATCAAAATATGTAATAAATACATTATATCAATAAAGTTGTACACATACATATTCAAAGTTTAATTTATTTTTGTTTTTTTAAGTAAGTCATGGAGATTCACCAAAAAACGACATAGCATGAACTGATAACATCTGAAGTAGGGGCTTTCAAAAAAAAAAAAACTAGTTTAAAAAAATGTTTGTCATGTGTATCATGTCATGTTGTAATGCTTGCTGGTAAGACTTGAGCACCTCCTCATTCTGCTTAAAATATTCAATAAAAACTAACCTACACGCAACATTCCTGTGTGACTGTTACACTGATGCTTATATAAATTCATAGGAAGAAATCTGAGAACCATTGAAGTCAAATATTGACTGATCACATCTTTATCCGCCATCAAGACCTCATGCAGTGACACTCTGACGCCCTTCACAGCACTACATTTATTCTTCACTTTTTTATAAGTTCAGATTAATTTTCTGTTATACTTTAACTCTAGTTTAATGTCAATACCACTTTGGGGTTTTTTTTTCCGGGGGGGGGGGGGGTGGGGGGTGGGGGGGGGGGGGTTGTTTTTTTTACTTATATGAAAATTGTGTATTTCTACACTGTGGCTGTTTCTTCTTATAGTGCAGGAATAAATCAGACTGCTTCTCGGGTGGAGGCCGACAGAAGAAATGTTTTTTTTTTTTTTTTTTTCCCGTTTGGATCTATAGCCATCAGAATTGTTGTCTTGAGGCCAAGAAAGATGCCAAGCGGATTTATTTTACCAAGTGGATCATCATGGCCTTGCCATATTGGTCCATTTGATTGACCTTTATTATAATTATGAATTTATTTTATTTTCAGTTGCAAACGGGACAGACATAACTGTGGGATAGGACAGGGGGAAAGAATGAAAGAAAGAGGGGGAGAGAAAGAAAGAAAACCAAAGGGGGGAAGAGACGGTGAGAAGGGGGGGAAGAGAGAAAAAAAAACAAACAACAACAAAAAAAAAACTCCTGGGTCACCTGTATGGAGAAAAAAAAACAGAGGAGACAGAAAACAACAAAGAGCAACATAATGAGAGAAAAAAAAAAGCACCATCATAATAAACTAGCTAGCAGTAGATATCAATAGTTACTAAATAATAAACGATATTGTGCAGCACGCAGGATAGACAACGCACAGTGTGCTTTGAGGCAGCAGCCAAGACAGCTGTAGTCCGCGTCTTGAATACCCATGTGTACACCTGTGTGCATACCTGTGTGGATCAGCATGCTTGCATTCCAAAGGTTTCTCCATGTAATGATCTGCTAGGGAGTGTGGGGAGCCACAGCCCTGTCCTTTATGGTATCAAGCAGGTATGGAGGAGATCAAAACTCCAGACATCCAGAGGCCCCCAGAACACAAGAGACCAAGGAAGACCAACAGAGGGGCAGCTGCGCCACTGTCCCAGTAAGAGCTAAGGAGAGTCCCAGATGAGGGCTCATTCAGCAGCCGCGGAGCAGAAGCCAGGGGGAGTTGCAGTGACGCGCCCGTGAGCTCCGCCGGCAGCCAGCTGTGCCTGAGTGACCGAGCCCCAGGCCGAGAGGCCGGGGGCACCCCACCTCCGAAATGGCCCGAGCGAGCCCCAATAAGCGGCCGCCAAGGAGTGAGCCGGTGTGTACCCGGACGCCCACCCCCAGATACAAAGAACCACCAACACACCGACACCTGAGGGAGTCCGCCACCGGCAGGGGAAGTGGTGGTGGGTGGAGATAGGCCTCCAAACCTTGGAGGGCCTGAGATGTCCCCAGAGAGGTGGCGTCTGATACCCAACCTGACATATAGACACAAACATACATTCCCCCCCTCATGCTCTCATGTGCACTTCACACTCAACCGACGTGGAGACAGACATATGGAGACGCTGTATACACAATCACACTCCCCAAGCGTACTCTACAAACCGGGTCTAGGTACCCTTGCCCCTGGAGGGGGGAACCGCACCCAGACCCAGGTGGTGTTACCCTTTTCCCTGCGGTGGGGAGAGGCAGACCGCCCCGACTCCGCAGCAGCAGGGAGGCCCCACACTCCAGACCGCAGTCGGACGGCCAACTCCTCCTCCTAGCCCCCCCACTCCAGCAGGCCACAGAGAACGGGGGTGAGAGAAGACTCCAAACCTCGCTCCACCCGTTCATTGTAGTGTTGATGCATGTGTGTTCTAAGGTGCATTTAAAACCCAGGAGGGCATGGAGCTACCTGCCAGAGAGCAGCAGGTAAGCGCATAGTCCCTCCTGCTAGCCCTCAATGTCTACGTGCATTTAAAATTGAGAGGTGGGCAACGATGCCAGGGGTGAGGTGTACACCCTGATGGTAACTTGGACTCCGTGTATTGTGCCCACCCCCAAGAGCTATATGTATGTGTAATGAGGGTGTGAGTAATGTGAATGTCTAAGTTGTGGGATAAAATTGAGGCAGAGGCAGCCAGAAGGGGACGGGGGGGGGGGACGGGGGGGGGGGGGGGGGGTAGCCTCCTCTGCACCCTGGTGACATACCCCTACTCCAAGGCCCTGCATGTGTGGGTGGTTGTGGTGGAGCGGGAGGAGGGAGGCAGCTGGAGATGGGGAGGGAAGGAAGGGAGGGGCAAGTGTTGTTTTTTTTACTTATATGAAAATTGTGTATTTCTACACTGTGGCTGTTTCTTCTTATAGTGCAGGAATAAATCAGACTGCTTCTCGGGTGGAGGCCGACAGAAGAAATGTTGATACTGAAAAAGGCTGATGAGGTGTGTTGAGGAAGTGTTTGAAGCTGAGAATGAGGAAACAATCAGAATAATAATAATAATCATTTTTCTGTAGGTTTTCTGTTCGCTTGTGAGTAATAGGGGTTAATGTGTGTTTACAGCACAAGTCATTGAACTAAATTTGTTGCGTGAATATGACACATGTACGTTATTTAAAAGATATGTAACTGTGGTCAGTGAGAAGTTCACATCTTCAGGGACATACTTTTTTTTCTTTTACTTCTAACAGAGTTGTGTATTTCATCACCGCGACTGTTTCTAATTATACTTCAGGAATAAATCAAAGTGCTTCTTCCACTCCTGCTGATGTGTCATTAATGGACATGGATGAAGGTTCTTTGATAAACACGAGACTGATTCACACTCACACATTCACACGTGCATATATGATACCTGAGCCTGATGACAGTGTTTCAGGAGAGGTTGATGAAGGTGTGAAGCTTCCTGAACTGAAGTGTGTTGTTGTTGTTGTGGAAGCTGATAAGAGAAATGTTGATGTTGATAAAGGCTCATGAGGTGTTGGAGTGTCTGAAGCTGTGAACAAAGAAACAATCAGAATAATAATAATCCTGCTTGAAGCAGCTTTTCTGTCTGCATGTGAGTAATAGGTGTTAATGTGTATTTACAGCACAACTCATGAAACTAAACGTGTAGTGTAAATATGACACATGTAGGTTACTTGAAAGATATGTAACTGTGATCATAAAACAGTAAATGAGAGCAGCTAAACAGATTCCACCCACAGAAATAAACACAAAGCGGACCTGACACATCACACGGATCTGTGAGATGTCGGCTTCTCACCCAACGCCACGTACACAGACACGCCATTGGGGCTGAAAGCCGACATCTCACAGCTTCTGAAGCTGCCGGTTTTGTCACTCTCTGACCAAAAGACACTGAACCAGCAGCAAAAGAAGATCAGAACTGCACTTCATGTTTGATAAATATTGTCATTAATTCCTTCTTACTTTGGCTGTTTTGCTTCCACCACAATATAATCACACTTCCTGCTCCCCCCCCCCCCCCCTCTCTCAGTGTATTTCAAGAACAGTTTCCAGTCTAAAAATCTCTGGTTTTTGCATTATTTATTCTCTTATTATGCACAAGTCATGTACAGCACTGTCGGCCACTATTTCCCCCCCAAAAATGACCTCTGACAAGAAAGCCTCATTTCTGCTGTTCAGTACGCAGAAATTTAAACTTTTTTAAAATTATGCCAAATTGCAAAACGCTTATCTGTGTCTCTAATAAAACCTCTCTAACTTTGCTCTGCTTCACTCAGCATCAGGTAATGTTCATGTGTTATAATGACCAACTACTACTGTAATTTTGGAGATGTTATATCCTTATACAGTATAGTTACAGTAGAGTTATAGTGGGATGCAAATAATATCAGGCAGATCCTCTCGCAATTTGTTCCCCCGGACAAACAGTATCCGACGGTTGTTTATGTTTTCAAGCCCATTTTGCACAGAGAGGTTTTTTTTTGAAAAATGATAGCAATGTTGAATATTATTACACAGTAAAAAAAACCAAAACAATTACACATTGAATAATTACACCATAAAGATGGTTTGTTTTTGTTATTCAAAAGAGATAAAAGTTTATTGTATTGTAACCTGTAATTTATTGCAGTTTACTTTTATTTGTTTAATTGTTTACAAAAAGTTTGAGGTGTAAAATAAACAGCAATGGAGTTTGAAAACAAAAAATGGGTGTGTGTGGTTGGAGGATATGTTTGTTCAGGAGGGCACGAATATTTTCTTATAAAACAAAGGGGGACCTAGCAAAGAAAGTTTGGGAACCACTGCTGTCAGACTTCACAACAAAGACTTTTGCAGCTGATCAAACACACATAAACCCACACAGGTGCAATAAGACTAAGTGCAATACTCTTTTTCTGACAAAGTTTACAAAGTCTTTACTCAGTTGCATATAGCATTTGTATTCTATTTTATCCTACTGTATATTTTATTTTATTCTATTCTGTACAGTTATGTACAGTATATTATTCTTATTGTATTCACAGTGTTCTCTAATTTTTGCTATATAACTTTGCACTGTCCGCTTTCAGCTGTGACAAAACAAATTTCCCACGTGTGGGACTAATAAAGGCAATCTTATCTTATCTTATCTTATCTTATCTTATCTTATCTTATCTTATAACAACAGAGTAGTAAGTGGTGCTGTTGTGGAACAATCCTAAATGTACAGAGAAGTTTTAATTGGTCAGATATGATTTAAATCATGTCAGAACCACGCCTTTGATTCTGACTTCATGTTCCAGATGAGATAAAAGGATCTTTTGGTGAAGTGTCAAGCAGCAGGTCTAGAAGCTGTAAAACTGCAGGGACTACAAAAATCAGCAGTGATGATTTTCAGCATGATGCAACAATATTTCTTTATCAACCTTTATCAACAAAAGGAAAACTGACAATGAAAACTGTCAGTTTAACCCTGCCTGGGCTGGCCTGACCTGAGAACCACTGAAGTCAAATATTGACTGATCACATCTTTATCTGCCATCAAGACCTCATGCAGTGACACTCTGACGCCCTTCACAGCACTACATTTATTTGAGGACTTCACTTTTTTATAAGTTCAGATTAATTTTCTGTTATACTTTAACTCTAATTTAATGTCAATACCATTTTGGTTTTTTTGAGATTTTTTTTTTTTTGGGAGGGGGGGGGTTGTTGTTTTTTTTACTTATATGAAAATTGTGTATTTCTACACTGTGGCTGTTTCTTCTTATAGTGCAGGAATAAATCAGACTGCTTCTCGGGTGGAGGCCGACAGAAGAAATGTTGATACTGAAAAAGGCTGATGAGGTGTGTTGAGGAAGTGTTTGAAGCTGAGAATGAGGAAACAATCAGAATAATAATAATAATCATTTTTCTGTAGGTTTTCTGTTCACTTGTGAGTAATAGGGGTTAATATGTGTTTACAGCACAAGTCATTGAACTAAATTTGTTGCGTGAATATGACACATGTACGTTATTTAAAAGATATGTAACTGTGGTCAGTGAGAAGTTCACATCTTCAGGGACATACTTTTTTTTCTTTTACTTCTAACAGAGTTGTGTATTTCATCACCGCGACTGTTTCTAATTATACTTCAGGAATAAATCAAAGTGCTTCTTCCACTCCTGCTGATGTGTCATTAATGGACATGGATGAAGGTTCTTTGATAAACACGAGACTGATTCACACTCACACATTCACACGTGCATATATGATACCTGAGCCTGATGACAGTGTTTCAGGAGAGATTGATGAAAGTGTGAAGCTTCCTGAACTGAAGTGTGTTGTTGTTGTTGTGGAAGCTGATAAGAGAAATGTTGATGTTGATAAAGGCTCATGAGGTGCTGGAGTGTCTGAAGCTGTGAACAAAGAAACAATCAGAATAATAAAAATCCTGCTTGAAGCAGCTTTTCTGTCTGCTTGTGAGTAATAGGTGTTAATGTGTATTTACAGCACAACTCATGAAACTAAACGTGTAGTGTAAATATGATACATGTAGGTTATTTGAAAGATATGTAACTGTGATCATTGAGACTTTCACATCTTCAGGGACATTAAGAAGATTTTTTTTCTCACCTCCTGTGATGAGAAGCTGAAAATCACATGGTTGAAAACTCGTGTCCAGTGTGCAGCTGTACCGTCCTGAATCCGACTTGTTCAGCTGTGTGATGCTCACATGCACAATAGGAGTTAAGAATTTTTCTTTTTCATATTCAATGCTGTATCTGCCGCTCTGAGCTGTGTAATCAGGTGTTTCAATGAGAATGTTTCCTTTTTCACATTTTTCTTTGCAGAACAATGTTTTTCTTCCAGGGATATAAAATTCGCATGTAACTGTGATGTTTCCTCCTTCCACTCCTTCATAGATGGGAGTTTCAGCATTGGCAAGTCCAGTGTTTCCATCCTGCAGGTCTGTAGAAAATATGAACAATCAATTATTACCAACTTCCTGTAAACACTGCAGTTTGATGATATTTTATTAAAATAAGACAGATGATTTTTCACTATAATTCAGAACAACATTTTAAAGTAGTTCATTTAAATTCACTCTCTTTATATTTTTCATTTGAACAAAATCACCCTGCTTCTTCCTGACATCGACACAAGCCATCTGCTGAAGAACAGCTCAGCTCAGAGTTAAAAGTTTAAAAATTGACCTTTTAGTTGTTTGAGATAAGAAATTGATCTGCTTTCAGGCTTTTGAAATAGATGCGTAATATTCAGTTTTCAGTCTGTTAACATTTAAGCTGTGCTGTTCCTCTTGAACTTAGTAAAAAGGCACAAATAACGTTGTTGTCTTTTGCCAGTTATTGCCCACAGTTAGATTGCTGCAGTTTAGCTTTCACAGAAACGTGACTTACTGGCCAAGACCAGGACCTTTTATTCTTTACTGAAAGCCACAAGTTACCTGGAAAACTCGAACTTGTTTTGACATAAAAAAAAAATTCAAAAGCTTCCTTATAGTCATGATGTTAGCCTGAATTATATAAAACACTGCATCAAATAGAACAACAAAGTAATTACAGATGTTTATCCCAAGAAAGCAAAATTAAACTGAACCAGCCTTTTAAACATTCTGATGTGTTCGGGAGTATAGATTGCTGAATTAACGAGGTGCACCTAAAGCCACCATGAATATCGAACCCATATTGTAGCGTACAAAACGCTGAAGGCGCACAAATTTTTTTTTTAAGTGTGGATGTTGTGACCGCGGTTCAGTATCAAAGCATCCAGCTGTGGACATTCACTCACAGACAGCCTCTGCTTCTGCTTTCAGCACTCTTTCTGATGTAGTGCAAAACCTGCAAACATTTTTATAAATCAGAAATAATAAGAATTTACTTACAGAGGAAGATGGAGCAGAAGAAAATGTGACAGAGTTTCATCTCGAGGTTCTGACGGCTTAATGTTTAATGCTGCTTCTCTTACTTCTCTGTTTGGAAACAAGGAACTTCTAACTTCTCTTATCCTCGCAGTCCCTCCTTCAAATTCACACTCCTGCGCTTTGATGGGTTTTTTTCTACTGCAGAGTCAAAGATTAAGTGTCCATTTATTTATGGGTTGCAGAAGTTGATTCTTTTGGTTTCTGGAAGTCTGTCCTGCGTCTCACAAAGCAGACTTTTCAGACTTGATCAAATTCACTTTAATTTAGCTGTCTGGCTGTACTCCAGTTTCGTGTGAAACCAAAAACACTGCATCATCTAAAAGCAACTCGACTACTAAAAAAGTTTTGACACTGACAGAGAGGAAGTTTTGAGCCATCAAAATAGAAAATTTCAAACAAAAATGTATTCACTCACCTTATTACTCAATTGTACTGAGATTGGGTGATCGTGAAGATCATCTAAGTACAGTTAACTCACTTTCATCTTCAGTAAACAAGTTTGAAGTCATTTGAGTTTCGTGACACAGCACTTTATTTACTTGAAGGAACCATCAGATGGTAGGTACATTATGATCATAAAGCTGGACATGGTCAGCAAAAATAATCAGGTAGGTTCTCAGTTGGCCATATTGAATGTGAGTATTATAAGAATGTGCGTCTGACAGAAAATAAGAAAAAGCAGAACAGGTAAAAAAAATGTGGTGTTTCATCTTCTTATATGTGAGGGAATGAATTACAGAATACTTTGCGGCCATGACCTGTTGTAAAGTTTGAGTTTCAGGGTAGAAGCAGAAGTTGTATTTAAGATATAGAAAGTGAACGTGCATTAAGGAGAAGTGGGCTATGTAGCCTGTGCTTTTTAAAGTTCAAACGCACATTTTTGTTCATCTTTTCTGTAAGAAAATTGTCACTTGTTTGAGACATAACGCCCTTATTTATAAATGGCTCGTACAACCCAGTTGATTTTAAAGTGTGCTGAGGAAACACATTGTAACTGATGTTGCTGGATGTTCACTGTCTGGATTCCTCCATCAGAGGTCAGAGATACAGAGGTCATACATACAAATAAGATAAGATAAGATAAGATAAGATAACCTTTATTAGTCCCACACGTGGGAAATTTGTTTTGTCACAGCAGGAAGTGGACAGTGCAAAAGTTATAATAATAATAATAATAATAATGGATACTTTATTGATCCCCATGGGGAAATTACTTGTTTTTCTCTACATTTGACCCATTCACTCAGTGAAGCAGTGGGCAGCCCACTAAGCAGGCGCCCAGGGAGCAGTGTGTAGGGACGGTACCTTGCTCAGGGGTACCTCAGGGTAGCCGTTAAGTGGATTCGAACCGCCGACCTTCCGATCATGGGGCGACCACTTTACCTACTGAGCTATCCCTGCCACATTTTTATGAGGCAAAAATTAGAATACAATAAGAATAAATACAGTACACAACTGTACAGAATAGAATAAAATACTATATACAGTAGAATAAAATAAAATAAATATACAATAAGATAAAAATAGAATACAAATACAAATACTATATACAACTGAGTAAAAATACAACGATGACAGAAAGGATTATTGCACTTAGTATTATTGCATATGTATGGATGTGTGTGCTTGACAGTGTTGGTCAAGTTACTTGAAAAAAGTAATCAGTAACTAATTACTGATTACTCCCCCAAAAAAGTAATCCCGTTACTTTACTGATTACTTATTTTCAAAAGTAATTAATTACTTAGTTACTTAGTTACTTAGTTACTTTTTAAAAACACGATTTACAACCTGAAGAGGTGATAAAGTGATAGATCTTTCAGCCCAATTCTACTTTTTCTACATAATCCATCATACAAAATGTAATCAAATGGAAAAGTCTCTTTTTTTAACTTGTTTTATCAGTTTTAATCTTTTAACTTTATGCATCAAGCAAAACATTTAATTATATGCAACATTCTCTGACTTGAATAAATTAGTTTAACATTTAAACCTATTTTCTACACATTCCAGCACATAAAATAAAATTTTTTTGTGTTTTCACTCACTCTTTCAAACAGATGCAAGTAAAACACAGCAGAAAATAAATAAAGTCAAAGACTCAGCGGTCCTTTTGCTCTATTTTCACCTGTAAAGCAGGAGCAGGGTAGGCGGAGGGTTACCCTGGTGCAGGTGTGCTGCGGTCAGTTGAAGAATCCGCGCGAGTGTCTCTGTGAGTTTCCCATCACGTCCTAGCTACTCGGTGCTTGCTCGGAAGTTTAGGGGTTTTTTTCGCTGTAAAAAGAAGTTTTCTTCCCACGCACGATGGACGCTAATGTTTTTGTCACTTTTTATGGAATCAAACTCAAAGTAAGGTCAGTACTTCCACACTTTAAACGCTGCACGCTCATACTCTCTCCCGCACTCGATATATTATCCATTGTTGATCTGCACACAGCTGCTGTCACCAACGTCGCACTTGTTTACGTCACTGTCATGAGACATTCTCACAAAAAAAATCACGGTTTTAGTAACGCAGTAACGATTTTGCAATAGTAATCCCTTACTTTACTCGTTACTTGAAAAAAGTAATCAGATTACAGTAACGCGTTACAAGTAACGCGTTACTGCCCATCTCTGGTGCTTGATCAGTTAAAGTCTTTATTATGGAGTCTGACAGCAGTGGGGAGGAAAGACCTGCGAAATCTCTCCGTCCCACACCGTGAAATGATGGCAGCTCATTAAAGGCTCTGTTAGAATGTTTCAGTGAAATCAAAGCCTGGATGGCGTTAATTTTAAACTTCAGTGACAGCAAAACTAATTCCACTTATCTGGGTCATGGGGGCAGTAGCCTAAGCAAGGAAGCCCAGACCTCCCCAGTTACCTCCAATACGGGGGAACACCAAGGCGTTCAGGCTGGCAGATATAATCTCTCCAGCATGTCCTGGGTCTGCCCTGGGACCTCCTCCTGGTGGGATATGCCCAGAACACCTCACCCAGGAGGTTGTATATGTCTGAAATAAAGTTATAATATTAATAATAACAATAATAATAATCCTTGTCAGATGTCTGAATCACCTTAACTGGCTCCTTTTGATGTGGAGCAGTAGCGGCTCTACTCTGAGCCCCTCCCGATAGCCAAGCTCCTCACCCTATCTCTAAGGGGGAGGCCAGCCACTTTTCTGAGAAAGCTGATTTCTGCTGCTTGTATCTGCCATCTCTTTTTTCAAACACTACCCAGAGCTCGTGACCATAGGTGAGGGTAGGGATGTAGATCAAGAACTTTGTATTTACACTCAGGTTTCTCTTCACCATGATGGACCAGTATGGCTGGCATCACTGCAGCCACAACACCAATCTGTCAGTGGATGTCCTGCTATCCTCTGTCTTCACTTGTGAACCAGACCTCAAGAACTCCTCCACTTGGGCCAATAACTTGTTTCTGACCCGGGGTGGACACTCCACCTACTTCTGACTGAGGTGTCCTAAGACTTGGAGGTGCTGATTCTCATTCACGCTGCTTCACACTCAGCCCCTCTCTTCACTAGAGTCCAGAACATACAGCTGCAGATCTGCTGATACAATTGTAAAATCACTGACCTTCTGGCCGAGGGTGGACACCCTTATGATCAAACATGGTCTTTGTTATTGATAAACTGTGGTTTGCACAGAAATTCAGTAACAGAACACACTGTTCCTCTCAATTGTGCCCCTCCAGGTTACATTGTTATTGCCTACATGAGCACTGAAGTCTCCCAAAACGATGGGAGTCACCAGGTGGAGCACCCCACCCTGGGACTCCAAGAAGCCCGGCCATTACCTGACCAGAGGTTTCAGGGAACCCTCTTGTCTACAGGGAGAAACACCAACGTATTGGTAGCAAGCCAAGGGGATACTGGGATATAGTCCAACCTCTTTCCAGGAGACTGGACTTATCCAAGGTTTTGAAACTCATCTACCTTCACTATCTCTGCTGTGATTAGATGGAAATTGTGTTGTTTAAACTAATTTTAATTTCCATTTATTATAAGAGAATTTGAAGCAACATGTGTTGGCTTACCGTCTGCTGCTAAATTGTTTTGCTACATTGTGCAACATCAGCTACAAGCGATAATCAAACACTTTTATAGAGATTGACAGACCACGTGACTTTCGCGCACTGCATGCCGGTAACTCGTGGCAAAACGATCCAAGCGCCGCATCAAATGCACGCATTTGCAGCACTGCAAGAAGTTCATTGTCGGTTCCAATACACTTTTGTGACTTTGTTGTGTGGACAACAGAAGCTTGTGTTATTACACGTGTGATGCCAGATGTAGACTTGTGGGCTAAAATGCTGCCTGTCGCTCAGGATTTCTTCTACAAAGTTGTGATGCCTGAGCTCTTGGCCAATCACTACACTGGTCCAGAACCCAGTGTTTCACAAGGGCCACATTCCATGGATGTTACCGTGACAAAAAAAAAAACGAAAGAAAAAAGCTTGCATAGAAAACTAACCAGACAGTATTTCAATTACACCCGTTCAGAGACAGCTCTCTTATATTGAAGGACTTTATGGTGATTTCATGTTTAGTGTCACTTTAAGGTGGACCCATCTTCCTGTACTCTGCACTCTATGGTTTGTGTTACCTGGTGTTCTGTCACTCACAGTGAATTATAAGATGTTTACATTGCTATAAATGTCTGTCACAACAGTCATACTTTGTTGTAAATATTTGCCGATTTGCACCACTGCACTTTACAGCTGTGCTGTAAATTATCTCTTTATGTCCAGAATGGGCCGACGCAATCTCTTTCTTTTCAGTTTGTACTAATATACAGTGTCAGAACCAATACAAATAAAGTAAGTGTTGCACAAGTCTTTCATCAGGACTGTCTTTATTTATAACTGACAACAGTGTTACATGTTACTATTGAAGCTGTCACGGACCCAGTTCCAGGGATTCGGGGTCCGTGAGCAGTGTGGACTATTATTATTATCGTGGTTATTGTGATTATTGTTATTATGGTTGTGTCTGCTGTCCTGCTTTCCGTGTTGGTGTACTGTCAGGTGTTTATGTGC